CATTTATTAAATAACATGTAAAATATCTAAATATTAAAATTAAAAATACAGTGTTTAATAAGAACTAGTAGATGCTATAATAAAATAAATTTGAAAGTACAATGATGCAGTAAGAAAGTCACATCACTATAGTACATGTGGACAGCCTACGTGGACAATGAGGTGGCATGAAAACCTAGTATAATGGGTAAATTTAAATCAAAAGGTTACCCAATGCTATAATGGGTAAATTTTTCAAAGTACAATGTCCTAATAAAGAATAGTTTAAAAGTACATTGCTGTAATAAGAAAAACTGAAAGTACAATGCTATAATAAAAAAATTATGAAAATAGATTGCTATTTTGTGCATTTTGCCCTAAATTTTATGCTCAAACGTATACAGTTACAATCTTTATCGTTTTTCGAAGATGCAACAAGAATCAACAAAACACTAATTCACCTAACTTTTCGTATTTGGTCATAAAAATATTCATGAAGCTGTTAAATCAAAACTTCTTGATGGGTAGTTCCTTACGTAAGCTTTTGTGGATTCTTGATGGGTTTTCGGTTATTATAAAATAGTTATGCAGTAACTACTTGATAAATACTCAATAGAAGTTGTGGTACTAGTGAAAAAAGATCTCATGATGGTTATGCGATAACAAAGATGACGGGCTCGATGGCCGGCTTAGTATTAGCTCCGTGTCTTTCTCATAATAAAGATGATCTTATAGTTATTACAACAAATTAGACTGAAATTAGGGCTGTCTCTTTTTCTCTCTAGAGATGGATCTTGCGGTTTGTAGACTCATCTATTCAAATAATTAGTGTCAGTCGAGTTTTGCATGTACTTTACATACTTTTATTATGTACGTTTATTAAATACGTTCTAATATATGTTAAAGTTGTGAAAAAGTTTCTTGTAGGCGAAAACGAACTCCAAAAGAGAGGGAGAAGTAGTTATGAGAGAAACGAGAGGTTAATTTAAATGCAAATGATACAGGGTACCTGAATGTTATTTTTGTTCATTCTTGGGTAAACAATTTTGTGAAAAACTTGAAGGATTTCAAAATGTATAATAAAATGAGAACCTAATGCTTGCAAGATGGACAAAAAAATTGGGATGACATAAATCGAGCATGCCCAACAACTATGTTATTTTAGGAATATAGTAAAAGTTTGTTCCAACAGCCATATTAAACTCTTATAAAATAGAGAAAAATATGGGAAGGAATGGATAATATTACTATATTTTAATTTGATTAACTATGTATAACTTTATCGCGATCATATGATCTATTTTTCAGTTTTCTTATATTATCAATAAGTAAACTCGGGGTTTCTATATATATATATATATATATATGTGCATGTTTGGTAATTTTGGAAAACTCAACAGTTAACTTTGCTTGATTTTCACGTCAACAATCTATCATCTACACTTAGATCCACTACAACAAAATTGGATTTATAGGACACCCCAATCTCTAAGTGTCCCAATAGACCGCTTTATAGGACTTAATTTATATGACCAAAATATAAAACGTCCTATCTAACGGTGTTGTATTAAATTTATATGACGCTTTTGGGTGTCTTAAAAAGTTTTTTAGGACATTTTAAATACAAAGTGTCGCATTAACAACTTTATAAGACACTTTTAAGAAAGTGTCTAATAAACTCAATTTTTTATAAGACATTTGTTTTTATAGGACAATAGTGTCCTATAAAGTTGTTAATGAGACGGTTTATATTAAAAGTGTCATAAGAAACTTATTACGACTTAAAAAAACGTCATATAAACTTATTACAACACCTTTAGATATGACGCTTTATTTTTTTGGTCCTATAAACTAATACTTATAAAGAAGTATATTAGAACGCTTAGAAATTGAGAGTGTCCTATAAATCCGAGTTGTAGTGACCGAACCAAATTTTTTTTATCAAATCCAACGAATAACATGATACTTGTGCATAATTAAAGATTGAAAATATGACAAATAACGACATCATCAACATCCAATATATGTCGAAAGTATAACAAATAATGACGTCAATAACGTCCAATATACGTCTTGGATACCTTTCTTTGAGTTTGAGGCACGTTGATTGACTTTCGTCGATTGATAATTAAAACGAAACGTTTGATTTATTTTTCATGGTTACCGACCTCAATTATTTTTAAGCGGATGGAAACCAATTGAAGTAAATAATTGATACAATGTTGAAAATCACATGGAAAATGATTAAATCATCTACTACGTACAACCAATCCATTGAGTTCCGCAAAAAGAGGGAAAGAAAGCCTTCCAACTTCTAATGTTTGGAATTAGTTGACTTTGTGAATTAAGCTCCATAACAAATATGACACATACAAGCAACGTATATGAATTATTGTATTATTTTAATTAATAGAGCCTACAAATTGTGTTAGATTTCATGATTATAGAACTCAAATATGATACGACTGCTATATTAGGACCCAATAATTTAGGTTTCCTATTTTACATTATCCTAAAGGATTGTGGATAGTTGACTCCTATGTATTTGACCTTTCATAATCAAAAATTGAAACATTATGCTGTCGCATTTTCACTTTTTGCAGTTACATTTACAAGGTCTATATGCATATAAAATTATATATGTAAAACCATCACATTAATTTATATATTTATTTTAATAATTATAATATGTGTAATTAATATTTATATTTTATTAACCTTGAAGTGGAATTACTTCTGAAAATGTAGGAGAATTACGGTGAATAAATAGTAATTACAAGAGTTAATATGACACAATTGAAAGTATAAATGAATTTGTAGATATGAGGATGATCTAATAAGCTACAAAATAATTATATCCTAATTGATTATGAAACCTATACATTGTAAGAGTCTTGCATTTTAAACTCCATCATATATATATATATATATATGTATATATATACACACTAGAAGTAGAAAAGTACCCGCGCAATGCAACGAAATATATATCAATTTCAATATTTCGTTTTATTCTGTCTCTGTAGATGTTTTAATACGGGTTTTATGTGGTTTTGAAAAAGAAAAAATATTTTTATTTTTAAATAAAATATAAAATTGAAAATATCATAAAATTTCAAAAATAAATATATCAATATTAGCATCAAATTAATTATTTAAAAGTTCTTATTTTTGTGTAGTTTTTTTAATTTATTTTTTTATTATAATTTAATTTAGATCTAATAACAAATTAATTTATTTTTGATTTAATAATATAATTTTTTATAAGGATAATAGTTTAATATTCTGTTAGAACTTAATGATTATCCTAATTATATTTTAGATTTTTTATATTTAAAATGAAATGTTTATCTTGTATTTGAGTATGTTTATCTGTAGTTAGTTACACGAATTCAAACATGAAGCTTTAATAAGTTGTGCTTACGTAAAGTTTATTTGTAATATTGAATTTTAAATAATATGCATCAATAAATAATATTTCATACATAAAAAATGGTTTTTAAAAGTTTTATTAAATGATTTATAATATTTTATATATATATATATATATATATATATATATATGATCAAAAAATAATTCGTCATATTGTATATCTTGTGGAGAGGATGAGTCATCTTGTCACAAACCGACCATTAATGAGATATAGAGATAAGTGGGGTATTTATTTGGAGGACGTTACTATTTAAAGGTTGACTTTTATTTAATAGGATTAGAAGGGTACTAGTCTAATGTATTGAGATATATTTTGATTTCAGTATTTTGTGTTATTCTTTTTTTATGTCGATATAATACGGTTTTGTGTGTTTTTGAGAAAACGATAATGTTTTTTATTTTTTAATAAAATATAAATTTAAAAATATTATAAAAGTTTGAAAAAAAATATATACCGATATCAATATCAAATTAACCTTTTTAAAAGTTATTGTGTTTTGGTGTAATTTTCTTAATTCAATTTTTTAATTATAATTTAATTTAGGTTTAATAATATAATTTTTTATAAAGTTAGAACTCAATGACTATCCTAATTATATTTTAGATTTTTTATATTTAAAATGAGATATTTATCCAATATTTGATTATGTTTATCTGCAGTTAGTTACACGAATTCAAATATGAAACTTTAATAAGTTGTACTTATGCACAATTTACTTGTAATCATAACTTTTAAGTAATATGCATCAATAAACGATACTTCATGTATAAAAAATGGTTTTTAAAAGTTTTTATCAAATGTTTTATAATATAATATAGATTGATGAACAAAATTCATTGGAAAATAGCGACATATTATGAAGGGAATAGAAGTAACTTCGAAG